TTATTTATGAAATTATATAAATTATGTATATACAGACACTTTTTCTGAAGAAATGTAATTCTAGCAGTTGTCTAGTGTACATGGGAAAGACAAAACAGGGATAAATTTTCATAGCTTTATTTAAACCTCTTTTCTTATTATCTCTCTGTGTATTATAAAAACCTTGTAACTTATACCTTTGTTTCATCACTCCTTTCTGTTCTTTCTGAGTTTCTTTCTCTTTCCAGGACATAATACCTCCACTGACATTATTTTGTACAGGTTTTAGAAGCAGAAAGCTAAACCATTACTTGCTTTCCAGTCCATTTATTAATAAGCATTATTGGAAAACCAGATGTTTTGGAAACTCAGTGTTTGATGTTTGGCTTAAAAAATATGGTTTTGCCACTATATAATCAGTTCAGTCAAAAACACTTAGGATAGAGACTTCTGCCTAATTTGTTTTGCTTTATTGCTAAGAGAAAAAAAAACCCACAAGAATGAGCTAGTGTCTCATTAATTAAATATTGAAATCAATATTTAATACTTTAATTAAAATAATAATTCAGTATTGAAATCAAGCATATTTATTGCCTTATCTAAGAAGGACTTCAGTGCATTTTTAATTATTTCCTAAATTAAGATGTAAAGTTTTGCTAGTGTTTGTATACAGTCAATAACCCAATAGTTTAATTTATATAGGTTGTCTTAGATTGTTCAGTTGGCTACTGCTCATCTTTTCAGGTTTCATACATCAGTTCTTAAACACTGATGACTATAAATATACTATCAATTCAATAGTAGCTGCTATTTTATTTAGATTTAAACTCAGTTTTAGGAGCCATTTCTTTCTTATGCATTAGGCTTTTCATTCTCCCCTCACCCCCTCAGTTTACCAGTAATTTGGTGGAAGAACAGAAATGAGACGAAAGTTTTCAATTGTACAGAAATTGCTGAGTAAACACGGTGACAGATTAACCAGAGATTGGCAGTGATTAATTTCATAAAATATTTTCCAAAATGTCCCATGGGGGGAAGTCATAAAAGGAATAAGCATGAGATCATGCAAGGTGTTAAGTGCCCTCAGCTTCTAATGATGTAAAGGAAAACTCATGGCAGATGATGTTTTCCTCACTAGGGCTCCTGAGTCGAGAAATAAATTAATCACAAATTTATACATATACTTAGTTGTGCACTTAACATTACACACTGAGACAATCCTTTCAAATTTTAACCCTAGAAGTTACAATTGAAAATAGCAAAGCAGTATGCGACGACTGTGGGACAGAAGAACACTTTACAACAGAAGAATATAATCATGCTTATGTCCAAAACAAAGTAGAGAAAAATCTTTACAGAATATTTATTCTTGTTGCAGATGAAGATTTTAACGAAGCCAACAGCTGTCAGGTTTTTTTTTTATAGCAGAAGTGTTTTTTCCAGCAGAGGGCCACATCATTGTATACATCTAAGCGATGTAGAATCTTAAGGCTTCAAGGCATTTGCCCTGTAATACAACAAAGTGGATTAATAGGAACCTGTTAATTTCACCTGCAAAACTTGCTTGTTTTTAAACTTAATTTTCTAAGAAAAGGCTGGCTGTCTACTTCCACCAAGTGACTGCCAAAATAAATTTCATCCCAATCCAACAAGGTGAATCTTAAAGTATGGTTTCCAAATGTTTCATAAAACATTCAATTATAGGAAATAAATGCTCTTAGTGTCACTGTTGTGACTGCTGTGTGAGCTTTCTTATCACACCATAAAGGATAGGTGAGAGAGAGAAATCTGAATACCTGAGTCACGAGACAAAATTCAGCTAGTGCTTTCACCCTTTTAGACATCCAGGTCAATCACTGTGAGATCTTCAGACTTCAGGAAGCCAAGCTTATAATAAGTTTACAAAAGTATTTGCTCTCTATTTGAGGAATAACCATTCCATGCCTACAAACTTCATTTCTGTATCTTGATCTTTACACAGTAAATTCATCAGCTTGACAATTTTTTACACATAAATGCGATTTCCATTATAACATCTTATTTGTTGTAATTTGCACTGCTGCTTTTGCCTAAGTCGCGTGAAATTCAGGGAGTAGTACTTGTTTCCATTAGGATGAAAAAATAGATTGTATGGCTTTGTGTTGTCATGTATTTTTAAAAAAAGGAGAATAGGGAGGCACAGAGTTCATTTTTGAATACTGGAAATTAAGATCTGAAGACTTTCTCTTACTCAGAAATCCCCAGCTTTGTCATTCAATAAGATTTGCATCAAACAAACTAGACTGTCAACTGCTTTTCTTGTTTTGTGGCAACAAATTCCCTGGTGTTACTGGATTTACAAGCAAAAAGAGACTCTCACGGACTCATTGGGGAATAAATACCTTTGCAACTGTCTTTGTAGCCGTGTCTGAACTGCTGATGTCTGTTCTATTCAGTGCTTGCAGTTTGCAGAAGGATGCACCGTGTTGGAGGTGCATATATGCCTAGCGTTTTTTTTTCAAAGCAATTCTCTGACTGTTAGAGCAAAGCACTGTAAAATGCATATGCTGCCTGACTGGTCATGACTTTGGATGTCTACTTAAATATTTCTATGGAATGTACCCCTCTGTTATATATAAACACTTTGCTTCTCCTTCCCTGACATACAGAATTTCTCCAAACCTGCTGTCCTTGTTCTACTCTATATATTGGTGTTTGCTAAACCCATCTGCTGATTATAAATGAAGTGCTGCAAGAATGATAATTTGTTTCTACAATGGCAATATTCTGTTTGTTATATGTTTGAGTGGCACTCCTCCCAAAGCTGAATTGTTTGCTGAACAATGATGGGGTTGTTGGCAGTACTCTGGTGCTGTTCTGTTGAACTTTTAATAGAAAGTTTTAAGCATAAATCATTTCCTTTGACAGTATAATCTTCTCAATGAAGCTTTCAAAAAGGATTCCTAAACCCAGTATTATTTGGGTTCTTTCATGATCCTGTAAAAGCAGTTATTTTTTCTTTGCTAGTCTAGCAAATGGGGCTAATCCATAAAATGTTTAAGGTTTGAGGAAAATATACCCTTATAAATATGTTTTGTAAGCCCAGGTTCTTAACATATAAAGCTATATAACATAGAGGAGAAAGAGAAATGTTGACATGAATATAGAAAAAATGATAAAGCACAGCTATGCAAACCTTACCTTTCAGCATGTATGTATGCATATAAAAGTCAAAACTGCGTTTTATGGTAATTTTTAACTCTGCCTTTTCACAAGATGCAAGCACTTGTTTGCAACTGTAGTGTTCTTTAAAAACATCTGGAAGTTTCAACTTTTAATCATGCATGCAGATTATTATTCCTGTACATATTTTTCAGCTCTATTGTTCTTCATGAAGAAAATACATAATTAATTAATTTGTTTGTTAAAGCATTCCTTATGTGATTTTTCAGTCTTTACTTAAGAATAGAATTCTGAAACTCTTCATGATAATTTTTCTTTTCAGAGACTAATGTACCTATTAGATGTCCTGATCAATGGATGTCATATGCTGGTCACTGTTACATAATTCACAGGGACCCCAAAATATGGAAAGATGCCTTAACATCTTGCAGGAAAGAGGATGGGGATCTGGCGAGCATCCATAATGTTGAAGAGTACAGCTTTGTTATTTCCCAGCTTGGGTACCGTGAGTATTATTTTACAATAACATATATATGTTTACACTAAGAATAAAGAGTTTTGAATATATCTTATCTAGTAATAAAAGGAGGAGCCTGTTTAAAAAAAAAAAAAAAAAGTCCTGATCACAGGGTGTAAAAGGACTTAAATTTTAAATTTAAAAAAGTCTTTGAAAGAAAAATACCCACACAATAAGAACATGAACACCAAAAAAACTGTACCATCACAGAAAAGCTGTGGTCAGTGCTGTGAACTGCATCAACCTCAAATCCCTATTCCTTCGGGTCTGCTTGTACCTCCTTTTGTACAGATTAAAACAATTTTCAACCTTTTCAGAAGCTGGAAGGAGTTTTATTACTGGTTTGCAAAGACAGATGAGGGGAAGCAAAGTCCATTGGTCCATGACAGTTTGGGAAGATCTGGGTTCTATTACCAGCACTGCCATGTCCTTATTTTTCAAGCCACGCTGCTGGTGTTTCTTCTGAAAAAGGAAGCTGTCTGTCCCAGTATGTGTATTCAGATGTGCCCCAAATTAAATATGGTACTTAGGTGCTTGGTTTCTGAACGCACATTCGAGTTGGTGCAAGGCAAGTTATGCTACAGATGCTGTGTGTTCATTAGGGGAGATGCATCATCCTGATGCTGAGGCAATTTTGTGGTTGCTGTTGCTTTACATGAACCTGATTTTGCATGCAGGATCAGTTACTGCTTTTTGATAGGAGGAGCATGTTCGCACCTATGTATGCTTCTTTGTAGTAACTGATCCTATGTGTGCTTTTAGTGCCAGGTAAGTGTGAGTTAGTTTATCCTTCACTGAAAGTGCAGTAAGCTGCTTTGAGCTGCAGTGTAACGGCAGTCTTGGAGTGGCAATCATAAAACAGCTGATATGCTTTAGTTTTGTATCCTAGCGAACTCCATGTCAACTCGTGCTTGTCCTCACATTCCTGAAAGAGTGATTTGTTGTTCTTTCATGAACAACATGAAACTTTTTCAGAGGAGATTATTAGGAAAGGTGGGACCTCCTGATGAGACATTAGGACATTTGAAAGAAGTTAGGTTCTGAAGGAAATTAGTTGTATTTTCACCTTACTCCTTTGAAGCAGATTATTTTGTAGCCTAATGTCTTCTCCAGAGACCTTTCCTGAACTGACTGCACTGCACTGTTTTTGTAAAATTGAGTGTTTCTGAAAGGCAAATAGTCCTGAAGGAAACCAGGCTTCTCACATATGGCACAGTCACTGCAACAGACTATTTTGAAAGCATTCTTTTCAGAGGAGTAAAATTGGAACAACTGAAGAAGCCTTTTAAGGCAGCTTATGAGAGTATCAGATTACCCTTGTTCACCACTGAGATGACAACACCATGTATTGCAGTGCCTAGAAAATCTTGTCTGCATCAGAACTCTGCTGCAATAAGTGCTGTACAGAAAGAACAAAAGTCTGTCTTTGTGCCAAACAATTCCCAGTCCCATGATAAAACAAAGGAAGAAGGGGTACAATGAGATGAGTATTGTCATAGTAGCTGAGCTTTTGTTGGCATCACCCACAAAGGAGAACTTTAGAGAGGAACATGAAGAGGAATAAAGAAGTGTGTTCTGGATGTTTATGCAGAAGTCCAGCACAAATGTGGCCCAGTGCATGCCTGAGAGAGTGGGAAACAGCTTTTTTACAAGTGGCTGGGGAAGAAAAAAATCTTGATATTTAGTCACCCAGCTTTAGAGATGATTGCAAAACTGTGACAGCATTTCTTCTTGAGAGGAGAAAATGTTTTGTAGGAAGAGGCTCCACAGAACTGTTTAAGAATGCTGTTTAGTGTTCGTATTACTATGGTATGAGCCCACCACAGTATGACCTCTGGCCATGGATGAGGCCTCTGCTCTGCTAGGTGCTCAATAAACACAGACACAAAGATTTTAACAGATAACTAAACAAAAAAGAAATTAGAGAGCATGGATGGTGGTACCTAAGGAGGGAATGAGAGCATGATTGGCAGTGGAATTGGAACAGGTTTCAATTTTGGTAGCAGAGGAGACTTTAAAGGAGAGTACAGAGATGCAGTCTTGGGGGACTTCTGAACATGAAGAGCAGTCTGGAAGAAGAGGTCAAGGTGCCTGTTTAAAATGGAGCCTGATGTCCTGTGAATCTGAGCCCTTCTTATTGGGGGAGAGATGGTAAGGACAGTATGGATGAGCTATGAGGGCTGATCATGCTTAGGTATAGTAAGGCTGGGAGAGACAAGGGGGGGGAAGAGAAAGGAGAGAGAGTTGACTCCATTAAAGCGACAGGCTGGGAGGGTGATTTCTGCAGCAGCTTGGTTGGTCAAAATGGGAAGCCTCCATGTTCCTGTAACTAGCTGATGGGGGAAATGTCACAGGAGAGTTTTAAATTGTTGGGGTATCTAGGAAAACCTTCATCTGAAATGTGTTAATCGAAAAAAAATGATTGCCTTGGAGGCAATGACTTTTAACTGTTTTACAGGCACTTCTGCTGCTAGTGACAGCAGCAACAGAAAAGAAACAGTTCCAGTTCCATTGAGAGACCCACTCCTGCAGTTGATGTCTTTTGGGGTGGGCTCACAATCCCATTTTTAATTTCCATGGGTGATTTCATTGTCAGGTTAACTGTGGTCAGTTTGGATAGAGGATGTTAGAGGAAGACTTACAGAAGAAGGCAAGAACTATAATAACAAACTGAAGAGAGAAACCTCTGAGTGCTGTAGATGAGTTGTAGAAATTCAAGGTCATAAGCGTTACAAAGTAGTCTCCCTATCATTCGTGAAAAATACTCATAATGAGTAAGGTCTAGCAACCAAGTAGTTCATACTCCACTTGGAAGGACTGCTATCTAAGGAAAGGACTGTACATGTATTTGGTCAGTGTGATCTGACAGTGTGAGCTGTGGTCAAAAGGAAATACCTGCTGGCTTTAGCATAGGCTGGATGACAGACTATAAATAAAATAATTTAAAAAATGCCACTTGCACTGAACAAAGTCATAAAATCAGTTCTAGAGAGGAATACCCTTTGATGATGATGGAGTTTAAATTTTAATCCTCCTTATCCAAATAGTTTATTCAGAACAAAACTGGGTATGAACATTATAGCAGCAATGTGTTAGAATGGAGGATTTTAAGCACAGACCAATAAACCTTTAAGAAACAGCTGCTGCAAAGTAACATCCTTGTTCAGTCCTGCACTTTCCTTCCAGCCAAAACCCAACAGTTAACTCCATTAACAGTAAAAAGGAAGAAAGTCCAACAACTATATGAAATGCATTTTGCTCTGAAATGTAATAAAATATAGGAACACATATAATGGGAAAACTTGCAAGTAGTCTGGTTGTCAGCTCTAAAAGACAACACTGGGTGTCATTAGAAAATACACACTTCTTTCTTCACTATACTAAAGGTAGGAGGAAAAGGGGAGGTAGCATTTCATTCAGGTGTTTATTCACATCTTGCTAAAAGAGTTTTGAGCTGGAAAAAAAAGAATTAACCTTGTTGTGTTGCAATGTAATTCAACAAAGAGAGTATTTTGGCTGTTTTATACAAAGTTAAACACTCTTATTGTATTGCCACTACAGTGAGTGGCCTTTCCTGATGACTGGAGTGGATATATGAGGAATGGTTTGCCCTCTTTATGAAACAGGGAGCCTTAATTTCCTGTGACTGCCTTTTAAACTTCCTGAGAATAAATCACTTTCTGTTCCATGAAAATAAAAGTTCACATCATACAAAAGGACTGTTACCAACCTTGTTAATGTACGTTTTAGAGCCAGCTGATGAGCTGTGGATTGGGTTGAATGACCTCAAGGTTCAGATGTATTTTGAATGGAGCGATGGGACACCTGTCACCTACACCAAGTGGCTTCGTGGAGAACCCACTCATGCAAACAACAGGCAAGAAGACTGTGTTGTTATGAAAGGAAAGGTAAAGTCATGTAGCTATTGACGTAGTTATCTTATAATTTAATTTATCCTTTGGCTTTGTTCTATGCAAGACCATAAAACTAGAGGATGTTACTGTTTGAAGCAGCCTATTTTAGAGTCTTATAGGTGTTATACATAGGTTCCTTTTTTGAGGAAGGATCCCTATTCAAAGTTGCCAGAAAGTTGGTTTTGTTGTCTTCCCTGAGACAGCAAGGCTTTTCTTGAAGGCAGCTTCCCCCCAAGATCCATATTTTTGGATTTCAGTTTGTGCATGTAGGCTTTTTTCAAGAAACTTAATTACACTGTGAAGCACATGAACATGTAAATGCTTTTCTTCAGGAAGCTACAAAGACATTTTGGATATGTGTGGATTTTTTTCTCTTTGAAAATGGGATATACACCTACCTTTAAAATTGTACTAGCCATTTTTAATGATGTTAGAGAGAAATACTATCTTTACAAGAAAATAGAAACCTTCATTTTCTTTTCCTAGGCAAAGTTATAAATTTTGGGTCTAGGTGGATTAGGTGTTATGCTTGTATCTGCACTGCACATGAAGAGCTGTGAGAAAAGTAGTTAGCAATGACATTAGTGGAAGCCTTTGCTGAGTGACTGTATATCTACAATTAAAAGGCTGCTTTGAAAAGACTGCCTTTCGGAATATGGCAATGATCGATGACCTAGGTGTACTACAGGAACTGAGATAATACTTGCTATAAAAGTCAGTCTGTGTGTGATGTTGCAAAATGGTATTTTTTCTCTTTGTGATAATTAAAAATATTGAACTTACCACCTCCTTCAGGTTTTACCTATTTTATTAGGAGGAAAAAAAATATTTACCCGTACCAAAGGCATTTTCTTATTTTGCAGAATCAAAACTTGAGGGTTGTGCTTTTGGTGAATGCACTTATAAATTGAGGAAGAGAACCAATTTTCCCAATTGGCCTGAACACTATACAGAGCTTGCCTCATAGGGCAAGCCCCCATCCAAGCCCCAATAGGCCTAGTTTTCTGATGTGCTTCACTTAGGTGCAATCATCAACAGCAACAGTGGCATGTATGTTCATGTGTCTCCATCATTCCAGTGCACAAACGCTCAAGTTCAGAAATGGAGATTGAGTGCAGCAGGAGAAGGCTGAGCCAGCTCTGCAGCAGGAAGAAGCTGTAGTGGCCATAGAGGAGTTAGCAGGTGCAGCACTAGAAGAAAAATGGACCACATCATTAGTTCCAGGAAGGAACGAGGAAGAGAATTAGAACAGCATCCTTGGGAGAGCAAAACTGCAGTAGTATCCATGGAAGAGGCAAGCCTGTGTAGGTTATAGCATATTAATCTCCCAAAACTGAGCACAACTATATGTGTTTGTGGAGGTGTTCTCTGGCCTGGCCAGAGTTCACATCTGCAGTTTCATTGCTGTATGAACTCAGCAAGGGAGAAGGAACTTCCTGTGCAGTCAGATGGTCCGGAAGATTAGAATTTAATGTGTATTTTAGTGAAGAATGTTGCGCTGGTCAGAAGCATAGGTAAAAATATAATCTATTAAATCTGATTGTCCATTGTATTAGTGGACATGCTCTGGTGAGAAGAGTGTAAATGCATATTTATTGCATGGCAACCAGGCCATGGTGCACATGGTAATTGAACAAAGAGATTTTTAAAGGTGCCGGGATTTTTGTGCTCCATTGTCTGTGCAGTGGCTATGCCTGTGCCGGTTGAGGGTGTAGTAGGTGCTTTGTTTAACAGAATTACAGAGTCAGACAGTGGAAGGAAGCTGAATGCTCAAATGTGAGGGTCAAACAATAGAGGTTGTAAATGGTGGTTGCTTCAAGGACTTTTATGCTGGTCAAGGCTGGAGAACGTGCTCAGGAATGGGAGGTTTGCAAGGTAGCTGGCCTTGGTGCATGTGGGTGGTGAGCTGCAAGGAATATATAGTTGAGCTTTTGTCTCATCTGTCATCCTTTGCCTGTTAGCTACCTTCATCTGTTGGTGTGAACTTTGGGGTTTTATGGTATTGTACATGGAAGTATCGATTCAGCAAGTATTAGAGGAGGTTAGAGGCTGACAAGCATTTCATAATTTGGCTAGTACTCTTAAAAAAGTACTGAGATTGCTCTTGATATTCACAGTTCCTCAATGAAATCTTTTTAAATTATTTATCTTTTTTTTACAGTCTTTTGGAACATATAGGGCAGCTTAAATCCATTGGTAAAGCCTTGATTTTTATCAGAACAACTTGACTGCCTTCAAATCAGGAGTTTCGACAAAAACCAGCAAGGGGCAAAATTTGTTTTGTGGCTCTCTGAGGATCTGGATGGCATTTTCTGGCCAAGTGTTACAGTATGTTGGGGGACTTGGATTCAGGTTAAAAATCTCAATTTGTGTACAGAAGCTGAGATCCACTAGATTCTATTTTTCTGCAAACCTAAGCAAATCACTTCTTGTGATAGTTTGAATTCAAGAACTTGTTGCATTTCTCTAGGAAAGAGACAGCTACCTCAGTCTCTGTTGCAAGATTAGAGGAATGACACATCTGGTTAATTCCATAAGACCTTAGGAGAAAGGTGAGGCATGGAGAGATTGCAACTAGCCCTACCAGTATCCTCTGGTGCAGGGCAGGAACAGCATGGTCTGGAGTAAATTCATGACACTCCGCAATGCCAAGCCCTGAAAGAACTGTTCTACCCAATGTTTTCCCCCCTCCATGTGGCCATTCATTGAAACCTACTGGATAAGGAAATGGATGGAAAAATAGGAGTCATAGAATCATAGAATCGTTTAGAGTGGAAAAGACCGTTAAGATCATCAAATCCAACTGTTAACCTAACACTGCCAAGTCCACCACTAAAGAGTGTCCCTAAGCACCACGTCTACATGTCTTTTAAATACCTACAGGGATGGTGACTCGACAACTTCCCTGGGCAACCTGTTACAATGACTGATAACCCTTTCTGTGAAGAAAGTTTTCCCAATATCCAATCTAAATTACTTCCTCTCTCATTTTGATGGATTGAGATAGCGGATGTTTTAAGGTCTCCCAACTAAATATTTCTTTGTTTCTCAGAGAGTATGAACTGTTACAGTACTATTCCATACCCATTGCTTTATGTGGCTGGTCTCTCTGCTGCTCATATATGTAGCAGCAGATAATTAGCCTTCAAGGATAATGAAAAAAAGGAAGCACCAGGGAGCAATAAGGATCAGCTCCTTCCTAACAGGTGAGGAGTCACAAGCCAAGCATAATAGCCTGACTTACAGGGACAGAGCCTGTCCAGCCAGAGCCTGTCTCACTGTCCCCAGCCGGGGTGCAGGGCAGGTGGGGTAGGCAGCTGGTGGCAGACCAGAGCCCATGTCTGGGATGATGAGGTGGGTCCAAGGTCAAGCCAAGTAGCTGAGTCAGGATCAGGCCTGGAGAGAATAACCAGGGTCAGACACAATCCAGAGATTGCTGGGCAAGTACATAGTGACAGGGCAAGTCAAGGATCAAGCGAGTAAGACAGTCCAAAGGTCAGGCTCTAGATCAACAAAGCCCATAGCCAGGTACAGATGTTGCTGGAGTGAGAGACAAGTACTTCTGTTTACAGCATGGACAGGAATTGAAGGCCCAGGTCTGAGCTTGAGTGGAGCCCCAGGGCCCATGGGCAGGCAGGTGGATGGAGGCCTCAAGTGACCATGATGGGGGCCATTTAGGTCTATTGGTACCCTCAAGCCACTAACTGAAATTTAGAAATGAATTGTAACAGTAAGGCATGCAACAATGCCATCAGAAAGGACTTCTATTTATAACATACTTGTTGATTGTGTTATGATTTTTGTCTATTTTTCGTTGAATTTGGTGGTCACAGATGTGGTTTTATTTGAACTCCTTTTTCATTACATTGTTTTTACTTTTCATTTTGATTTGACTCTGTACCTTTTGGACAGTGATGCAAATTAATGTGATACAAATTTGCTGTGATGTGAAGAAGCTACCATTTGTCCAGTTTAACATTTTGAAAGGGTAGCTGTTGGCATATGCTATGTTTTAGTTTTTCTACCATCATTTTTGATGGGAAGAATCTTGCTTTCTATACCAAGTAGTAAGTCAGACTGGTAAATGTTTCTTTCAAGGCTAAATTTTAAGGCCTTGATGCTTGCTATCAGACCAGGTTTTCCCTTGGGTTCAAAAGTCAGTAATTTCTGTTGTGAGAGTTATAGATTAAAAAAACACAACACATTTTAGCTATATACAGACTTTTCATATACATGGTTTTGTGTGGAAAGCTAATTTTATTGTGGGTTCTTCTCAACTCTTTCAAAATCTGTATTTGTTAAATAGTTGAATAGTACTTAGTAGGATAAGTAACTTCAGATTCCATGGAAGTGGCACTAGCCCAGTATTTCTTGGGATCAGCTATCAGCTAACTAATCGAAGCATAATTATAAGTTGATTTTCCCTGTTTTTTGTTGAAGTTTGTCTACCTAAGTATGTATATGGTTCCATTGCTGATTATTTTGGGTTGTTCTCTCCTTGGCTGAATTCATCTCAATCCATCATTTATTTTTGTGGAACAAAACCTGCCCCTGTCTGTGACAGCACCTTCTTTTTAAAGGAAGTGTTTGGGTTTACTTAGTGAGGAAGTAGGAGAACAGAGAGATATTTGCAAAAGGCAGCTTATAAGACATGGTAAGAAGGCCCTAGAAGAACTGTGAAGACATGGTTATGGGAAGACAGCAAAGGATCTTCCTGCAGCTAAAGAGCCAAAGATTCAGAGTAATTTTTCCTATATTCAAGAAGTCTAAAGGTTGTGAAAGTTGTGCTGATTTCTTCCAGGCTGAGAAGGCCAGTTTTGGGTAGTTATTTGAAGTGCCTACCAGCCTATTGAGACTGAGAAAGAGAAGGTAGGAGATGATGACACAGCCACCAATGGACTTGCCTGCTTGTGGTCGTCATAAGACAGGGAAGACACAAGAACCAGCTGAACATCCTAGGGTTCTTCATTGTTGTAGGCAGTAGTGTTGAGCTTTGGGCAAGTTTTTGCTGGAAATGGGGTTCGTTGAGGCTCTTGAGGACTTTGCATATTGTGGCACAAAGGATTGTGTATTATCATGATGATCATTTTACATTTTGTCAGGGCGAGGGGGGAGAAAAAAAAGAAAAGAAAAAAAAAAAGAAAGAAATTGCTGCCCACCTGCTATGATTTTACCTTTACAAAAGTGGAGTCTTTAAGGCGCAGGTGAGAGCGCTTTGCACAGGGGTTTCTCTTCCTCTCCCCATTCCTTAGTTCATCTGTTGAAACAAAATTGTGTAAAATATACTGGGAACATGGTGTAAGGTTCTTTACTTTCAGTACA